AGAGAGAGAGAGAGAGAGAGAGACAGAAGTGCAAGTGCCTCTGTCTCTGTCTCTCTGTCTCTCTCTCTCATGGGACTTGCCGGAGGGCCGTGGGAGGGCCGCATTTATATAGAGCAGGGAGGGCTGCTCGAGGGCCGGATTAAACCGGGCCGCGGGCCGCAAATGGCCCGCGGGCCGGACTTTGGACATGTCTGGCTTAAACTATCCTTCTAAAGACCCTGTGGATTCCTTCCTTCCTTCCTTCCTTCCTTCCTTCCTTCCTTCCTTCCTTCCTTCCTTCCTTCCTTCCTTCCTTCCTTCCTTCCTTCCTCCATTCATTCATTCATTCTTCCTCCCTCCCCTCCTTCCCTCCCTCCCTCCCTCCCCCTCCCTCCTTCCTTTTCTTCCTTTTTTCCCCCAATAAGCAATTATGGCTTATCTACAGCCGCACTGCCATGTTTATTTTGCCTTCAAGATTCAGTATTGGTCAGGAAAAATGGCTGGAAATAAAATCTATATAGCAAAAATGAGACTTGTTTTTCCTTTTTTTCAGAGCTCAAGCTCCTGAAGCTGGGAAAGGTAAGGAAAACTGTAAAAATTGTAGATATGCCAAGAAGACTAACCTTTCCTAACTATCTCAGGGAGATGTTGGTAGAAGCTGTTTGTTTGTTTGTTCCTTTTTTATTGTTACAAATTAAATTAACTCAACCCATGAATATATTCAACGTATTTTCCTCCTACTAATTTCCCCACAACAACAGCCCTGTGAAGTCGGTTGGGCTGAGAGACAGGGATTGGCCGAAAGTTACCGGGCTAGTTTTCATGACTCAGGCAGGATTATAACTCATCCTTTCCTGGTGATTTGCCCAGTGTCACACAACCGGTTTTTGTGGCTAAAGTAGAACTAGAACTTACCATCTCCTGGTGATTGGCCCAAAGTCACTCAGCCAGCTTTCATGCCTAACTATAATTCACTGTCTCCTGGACATTGATCTATAGTCACTCAACTGGGTTTCATTCCTTAAATGGGAAGAGAACTCACAGTCTCTTGGTGCTTGGCTCAAAGTCACCCAGCTGGCTTTCATGCCTAATGCGGGACTAGAATTCACTCTCTCCCTGTTTCCAACCTGACGCCTTCATCCCTAGACCATATTATCTGTGACCAAGCACCATGTTCTTCTTTCTTTACCAGGAGAGTACATGGAAGGCGAAACAGTTCGGAGTCAGATTTCTCTAACTGAAGTGGGAACCGAAGAATTTCTGCAGAAACTGACATCTCAGATCACGGAAATTGTGTCTGCAAAGATAAGTCAAGGTAATGGTGGTTCAAGTGAACTCAATGCAGGAAGACACTTGACAATATTGGGTTTGGGGCTGTCAGTTTGAGACAGGACTATTGGGAGGGGGAGGAGATCATATGAGTGGACTTCAAATAAAGTTGATAGATGAGATATAAAGCCAAAGTTTGTTACCTTATTAGAACAATCCCTTAGATTTGCAGTGACAAATGTTTGCTTGTCTGGTGGCTAAACCATATGATGAACGAATGAGGGAATGTCTACTTTAATGAAGAGAAGGACCAGGGCTGACCTGATAGCATCTTCCAATATTTGACGGTCTGTCATAGAGACGATGGGTCAACCTATCCTCCAAAGCACCTGAAGGCAGAACAAGAAGTGACGGATGGAAATCAATCAAGTCATTTCCTGACTGTTATAACAATTAATCAGTGGAACAGCTTGCCTTCAGAAGTTGTGAGTGCTTCATCACTGGAGGTTTTCAAGAAAAGATTGGGCAGCCACCTGTCTGAAATGGTACAGGGTCTCCTGCTTGAGCAGGGGGTTGGAATAGAAGACCTCCAAGGTCCCTTCCAACTCTGTTATTCTGTATTTTGTACAGATAGACCACAATTGAGCCCAAAACTCCATTGCTAAGCAAGACAGATATTGTGAATTTTGCCCCATTTTACAACATTTTTTGCAATAGTTGTTAAGTGAAGTATTGCAGTTAGTAAGTTAGTAACATGGTTGGTTGCGTGAATCTGGCTTCTCCCTTGACTTTGCTTGTCAGAGGATAGCAAAAGCAGATCAAATGATCCCGGGACATGGCAACTGTCATAAATATGAGTCACTTGTCAAGCGTCTGAGTTTTGATCATGTGACCATGAGGATGTTGCAACAGTCGTAAGTGTGAAAAATGGTCATAAGTCACTTGTTTCATTACCATTGTAATCAGAATAGAGCTAGAAGGGACCTTGGTGGTCTTCCAGTCCAACCCCCTGCTCGGCAGGAAACCCTATACCGTTTCAGACAAATGGCTGTCTAGTCTTTTCTTAAAAACTTCCAGTGTTGGAGCATTCACCACTTCTGGAGGCAGGTTGTTCCACAGGTTAATTGTTCTAACTGTCAGGAAGTTTCTCCTTAACTCCAGGTTGCTTCTTTCCTCGATTCATTTCCATCTATTGTTTCTTGTCTTGCCTTTTCTGGTACTTTGCAACTTTGAACAGTCACTGAATGAACTGTTGTAAGCCAAGGACTACCTGTGTTCTGTACTCAATTCTTTGCTAAGAACTTTGGCATGTCTACACGACACAGATTAGGGAAGGCTGAACTAAATACACCTGAAGTTGAACTTATTTTAAGATTGGAATTCTTCCTCAGAAGAATGGAATTTCTCCCTCACAACGTTTTTTAATCATAATTTCCCTTCCATTTCAGCTTCCCTCCGAATTCCTGGGGCTGATAGTGACGATGAATCAAAAACACCATCAGCATCTCCACGGCATGGCAGATCCAGACCTTCCTCAACTGCTCAGGAATCGTCTTCCGAATCTGATGAAGGGGACGCAAGGGGAGAGGTAGGGCGCCTGCAAAAGTAAAGTTTATGCAAATTTTCCCATAGGGAGAAAAATAAGATTCTTTGGAGTGAATCAGAGAAATGATTGGTGCCAAGGACCACTTGGTGCTCCCTGAGTTTGGTGGTTTTCTTGCAGACGTTTCATGACCCAAGTGGGGAACATCATCCATGCTGGAAAGGAGGGGGATTGGAGGGGGAAGAGGAGGAGGAGGAGGAGGAGGAGGAGAAGGAGGAGGACTGTGGGGTTCTTGGCGGTGCTCTCCAAGCTTGGTTGTTTTCTTGCAGACATTTCATTACCAAATTAGGAAGCATCATCAGTGCTAGAAGAGGAAGGGGTTTGCTCTGTTTTATACAGTCTCTTCTAGCACTGATGATGTTACCTAGTTTGGTAATGAAACATCTGCCTGAAAACAACCAAGCTCGGTTTTCAAGAACCTTACAGTGCTCCCCCCTCCTCCTCCTCTTCTTCCTCCTTTTCTTCTTCTTCTTCTTCTTCTTCTTCTTCTTCTTCTTCTTCTTCTTCTTCTTCTTCTTCTTCTTCTTCTTCTTCTTCTTCTTCTTCTTCTTCTTCTTCTTCTTCTTCTTCTTC